TGGATCTGCTCCAACTTAGGCTCTGCTTGTTTTGGGGACCCCAGAGCTGGATGGGATGCAGAACTTCAGGTGGGGTCTCACCAGAGCAGAGGGGCAGAATCCCCTCCCTCACCCTGCTGGCCATGCTGGTTTTGATGCAGCCCAGGTCAAGGTTGGCTCACTGGGCTGCAAGTGCACATTGCTGGGTCATGTTGAACATTTCCACCAACACCCCCAAGTCCTTCTCCTCAGGGCTGCTCTCAATCCATTCTCTGCCCAGTCTGCATCTGTTGGGATTGCCCTGACCCAGGTGCTGACCTTCTACCTGGCCTTGCTGAGCTTCATGAGGCTCCCACAGTCCCACCTCTGAAGCCTGCCCAGGTCCCTCTGGATGCCATCCCCTCCCTCTGTGTGTCAGCTGCCCTGCACAGCTTTGTGCCATCGGCAAACTCGCCGAGGGTGTGTTTGATCCCACCGTCCGTGTCACCCACAAAGACATTAACCAGTGTCACTTTCAGATGGTAGTCTTCTCTCCCTCAAAAATATTTTAAAGAGGTCCATGCCATACAATATACAAAATAGTGGTGGTTCACAGGGTAAGTATGTAGAATAGCTCAATCCCAAGGAAAATACTTTCCCAAATTCTTTTCAAAAACCAGATCTACAGTAAAACTATTGTTTTACTATAGTATCTTCTGGAAACTGGTTCAACAGGTAGGCTTCTCTTTTATAAGGCATAAAAAAAATCATCACTCCTGTTCAGATTCTTGCAGTAAAATGTCCCTTTGGACTATGACAGACTGGCTCCTCATGTTTCTCTTCTCGCAGCATTTTAGTCACACACACTGACTAAAAAGCACACCAAGACAAGATGTCCTGTTACTGTTCCATCTGGGTATCCCATTTCCCTCTTGCTCCTCTTTTTTGCCTGGAGTGCTGGCTGTAATGCTGTAATTCTGATGGATCCTGGATTTCAAGCCAGCTAGGTGTGAAAGACCTCCAGGTTTGCAGAGAGTAGAGTTCAACACTGAATGGATTACATCTATTGATTCACATAATTATCACAATTAAAATTTTGGGTATTTTTAAACAGAGGAGGATACTGACTGGTTAGCAAAAATTAAGAAGCCTGGCAATAATACTCCTAAACCAGAGTATCCACAAATGGATCTCTTTCCAAAAATTGTAAATTCATCTGTGTCCAAGTTCCTCAGTGAAAGGAGACAACAATTGTAATAATAACAGCAATGTAGCTGAAGCTTAACAGAGTGAAAATAAACTTGTTTCTTCAGAAAGTACATGGAATGTCTTAAAAGCACAAGTCAAAATACTGATCTATGTAAGTGAAGTCAAAATACCAATCCATGTGAAAAAAAATAATGTATTTCTAAAGGCAGCATTTGCTACTCATTTTTAGCATGGCATACCCTTCTCTTCTATAGAGATAAAAATTGCTGTAGGGGTTTAAAAATAGTAGAGTCTTGTACAAAATCTGCTTGTCCATCATGGGTTAAGGGATTCCTGGCCTATCAGCAATCTTTCACTGAACTCTTAATATTAAAAAAAAATTGCTGCTTACACCGCAAGGGAGAAAGAGCTGACAAAAGCCTTTGGCCAGTGAGATCAAAATTGGGGATGGGGGGAGAAAGGGGAGCTTAGCTTATTTACATTTTTGCTTTGTTAGTAAACTGGAATTGTTAGAGCAGGAGGGAAAGGGGAAAGAAAAAGAAAAAAGTGAAATTAACAGCCACTAAATCTTCTGGCAACAGCAGTGCATTTTGATATATGCTGCGTCAGCTTCCACTAATGGTTTAGGGTTGAATAAGGCACAGTTCAAGACCCAAAGCAGTGCGGGGCATCACATCTTGTTCTTTGGAAGAATATGTACCCTAATTATAAAGATGGCTACAAAATAAAGAGCTCAGGATTTCTGGCAAAAGAGAATAATGATCTACTTAATAGGAAATCTTAATGTCATTTTGAATCAGAAGAAATCATAGACAAGTAGTATTTCAGCCCTGTAATGAACATACATCTGAACAAGACGTTGTCTGATTTTGAGAGAAAACTACCTTTCTGAAAAAAATCCATCAGAGTTGCTTTTTCTGCTCTTAGGAGTTAATCTCCCTGGTCTATTCTGGTAATGTGAATGGAAACAAAGGCTCTATATGCATGTGCCACTTACCACACAAAATATCCATCCAGTATTTCAGAGAGCACAGGAAGGAAATGCCCACTGAGCTAGGGACGTGCCAATGTCAGTGCTGCCTGTGCCAGGCTGTTCCTGCGAAATTTGTGTTGTGCAGCAGAAAGCAATGCAGGGTGGCAGGATTGCAGAGGGGTGCGGAGACAGCTTAAACAGGCAGTGGAAGAGAATCAGCCATTTGGGAGGTTTAATAGGGGGCTGTTTGTTTGTCTGCCCTTTTGATGTTAAATTAGTTTTCAATTTTGTTGCAAGGAAGGAGCCATTGGGAAAAGGACACTTCTCTTCCAGTAAACCCTGGGAAAGCAACACCTTTATTTTAACAGCCTTCCCACCAAGAACCCCCTGCAACACTTTGGCTTTCCCTAGCTATAGCTATCAGCAACACAACAGCTGCTCATTTTACAATGACTTGCTGGAGAGAGAATGATTGAAAGAGCCAATCTATGTCACATTGAGAAACTGTGGCACAACATCGCAGGAGGTAATAGGAGAGGAATGAGGTCAGAACAAACAAGGGTAGGGTGAGAACGGAGAAGAAAATAGCAGAGAACAAAATTACTAAAGGCAAGGTGCTGTACTACACAATCTATGTTTAAAAACATCTACAACCTGACTGCTGCAAACAGCCACAGAAATGCAAAGAAGCTCTGTGATACTTTTTCGTAGGGTCTCATGAATACAGCTGATGATAAAAGCTACCACAGTCCTTGTAATGAAGAACAATGGTGTGAACACACTTAGGTGAAAGCACAGTCTAATTCATAAGGCTTGAAAGCCCCAGCACCCAGCAGCATTCCTCTATCACAGGGCTTTAAACAGCAGCCTTGCTTCTCTCTTTGCAGCTCGAGAAACAGCAGCAGCAGCAGCAGCAGCAGCAGCAGCGATGGTACCGCAGCTGCCCAGCTGCCCTCTGGAGAGCGCTGCCTTAGCTCACGTTCGGGAGTTCACCTTTAGCAAGAGCTGCAGAGACCAGAAGCTTGTCTATGACAGGGAAACAGTGCAGGGTGATTTTGATTTACCACCATTCATAAAAATCGTTCCTGAGAAAGAATTGCTTTTGTGTTACTGCAGCAGACCAGAAAACCACCGTGCAAAATGGTGGCACAGTTTGTATGTAGAGACAATGCTTTTCACTAGGTGAGTTATAAAATGAGCTTTTGGGGCTCATCTGAAACGATAAAGTGACTCTGACTCTGACCCTGACCTCTGAGCCCATATAACTTCTATTTTTACCCCATGGGGATTAGGTGGTTTCATAAAAGTTATTACCCTCTCCTACACACTTATGCTCATCCTTACATATCATGGCTACAATAAAGCTATTTTCAGCGTCACAACGTTTTTTCCCCATTCAGCAACCAAGCTGCTAAAATGCCAATCTATTTACTCACCTGAATCTGACTGTGCCAAAATGTTACCTTTCCAGACAGGTGGACTATCTGGCTTCACTGAACAACAGAGATGGATTTCTACACCAAAAACAATGGGAACCACCTTGGAAATACAAAGCTACCACACTGCATATAATGCTGTCTCCACTATTCCTGCTGTCCTCACTATTCCTGCTCCACCTGAGCATGTGCTGCCAGTCAGAATGGCTGTAGAGGTATGAAATAACTGCAGGGCATGCGCAGCATCAGGGCTCAACATGCTCAGGCCACATTTAGAACTAAACATTCCTGTGTGCACTGAGCTTACTTCCCTCCGCTTATCTAGTTTAACCTCTGCAGACAAACAGGCAGGAACATTTTACACAGATACCTTTGTATCAAATACCAAAACACATTCTACTCTCTGAATTTTAACCAGCATTTGGTTTACAACAACACTCAAATCACCTAACAAAAAGGCACCTCTGCTTTTGTTTCTTTTAACTGAGGTCCATGTTTATTATTTTGCAGTTTTGTCAGCAACTGATGTTATCCCCAGGGTAATGTCAGCACTCTCCTACTCCTAGGAATTCCCCTAATATTCAAAATGTCAGAAGATAATAAAAAACTTGAGCATCAGAAAGAGAATAAACTCACCTGGAATACTAAATACAAATTGCTGCCTGACCCTCTGGAATAAGTAACATGCCAGATGGGTAGGGATAAGGTAAGAACTGAAATTAATGTATGCCATTTTTTTCTTTAGGGTATCTTAACAGATTTCCACAAATTTCTGAATATAAATGATTGTGTGTCATACTCTAAATTGAACAAGAGAGCGAGCATCAATCCTGCCACTGGTATTCCAATTACTACTGATGGGGCTGAATCCCAAGTAACTTGCTAATTTTTGCAAATATTAAGAAATATCTCATACAATATTCTGTATTCTGTATTCACGTCAAAAATCACATTGCCACAATACAGAGTTAGAAAATTTCTGCCTCAACCTGCAGGTCTGTAACCACCATTCAAGCTCAACAGCCAAACCCAACAAAAATACACAGTTAGAACAAAAGAAGGACTGTAAATAATCAAGAGAAGTATGTGACAAATGATATACAAAGAAATAATCAAGAGAAGTATGTGACAAATGATACACAAAGCAAATACAAAAACTACAATTAAGTATTCACATTGGTTGGTGATAAAGACATTTATCGAACCTATGTGGAGTCAAGTTCAGAATTTTGAGCATTCTGAAGGCTTGGTAGCTGAAGTTTAGATTGAATTTACTTTTGCTTTAAGCATGCATTTTTTTCAGAAAAAGACCCCAAAAATGCAGGATTCTCAGAAAATAAGTTAGTTTGGAATTTGGGAGTATTTATTTATGTATTTAATAAACCTACCAATTGGTTTAATTTTGTTTGCTAGAACAAACTTACCTGGAATACTCGCTGGAGAAATGGGACCAGATCTTGACTGGTTGCTTCCAACAGGTGAGCCTACAGGGGAAGGCGATGGGCCCCCGGGGATGCCAGAGAGATGTGGAGAAGCATGAGGGGAAAACGGAGACTGTGCAGGGTTGCTCTGCTCCCCTTGGCTGCTCGTGGAGCCTGACGCGCTGACAGCTGAGCTCAGGGTTGCTTCAGTTCCAGTCGGCAAGTCATCAATGGATCCAGATAAATCCTGAGCAAAAAGGAAAAATGACCATAAGTGCTTGCATGAATACTCAGGCCCCAGGACTCAAGGGCTGGCATGGCAATAGATTCATTTGTTTATTTATTGCAGTAGATAACTGAGTTTGTCTTTAACATTTAACACGTAGTTAAATGATGGCAGAAAACAAGGACGGTGTGCACAATTCTCTGCTTAATCTCTAATTCTTTTGAGAAAAAGAGCAAGCAAGGGCAACAAATGAATTGGAACCAAATTCATTCAGCATTGAATTTAACCTTTTCCATCTGGATTAAGCTTTCAAAATTAATCCCACAAATTCTGCCTGAGCATACCAAAACTAATGAAAATGATACATCAGTTTCACTTGCACAGAGTATTTAATTTTGGGGTTTGCTACCATTACAATCACAGCTTATACACTTCACTCTAAACCCCTACAATGAGAGAAGAGTGTAAAATACACTCTTTAACACTCCCTTGCAGGTCCTTTGCCTTGCAACAAGGAGTGAGAAGAGGCCCTGCCCTCAGCAGCAGCACTGGATCTGCTGGCCACCAAGGAACAAGAATTGTATTCTGCTGCTTCTCCATTTCCACCAAACACCAATGTACGGCTCACAGGTTCTCTTCAATTTCATCTGAATACACTTCTTAACGGTTACTCCATTTCAGCTCATAACTGCTGCATTTTCAATGAGAAATTTCCTCTGTAGGTCACAGCACATTTGAATTCTAACTATGAACTGCTGGACATATTCCCTCAAGCTGTAACACAGAAGTTATACTGGTCTCTGAATGTGTGGGAGTAATTAGGGGTTTTAAATAATTTTAAGATCAGATATGAAAAACCAAGAATGCTGTGACAAAGCAAGCACATGCTACCCAACTGTCAGAAAAAAATGTTAATTCCCAAGCATCACAGAAAAACCTCATACAAACCAAAAGGTGCCAATATTGCTATGCTTCTGTAGCTATTGACAGGTCATGGGGAACAGGTTACTATGTTGCTATTTCTATAGCAAATTAAAGCTCAAAAAAGTGGCATGGATCTACCTCACATATAGATCAGGTAATGAAATGACCCCTGAGACTTGAAATAACTGGCATGACAGGGTGCATTACTTTGACTCATCCTGACTTCATTGGTTTGGCTCATACAAGTGGTTGCAGTACCGACAGCACGACCCCTTGTCCAAATAGCACAAAAAGAACTGGGTTCTGCCTGAGCAAAGAGCAAAGGAAGCAGAGCCTCAGTGCTGCCTGATTTTCATAACAAAAATGAAGTTTTTTAGAAGTCACAGAACAGGGACAGATCTCACACGGTGCGAGTTAGAACTCTGCCCAATGATGGCTGCCTCCATTGCAAGGGAGGCTCACAGCCAGGTTCCCTAACAGACGGGACATGGTCAGGCCTCCAAGGCACAGGAGGAGGAGGAGGAACAGTTGAAGCACTGCTAACACTCACTAGAGGCTGTAGAATGCTGCCTGTTGTTCCTCCTTGTGCAACGCTACCCTTTATTCCTCCCTGTCCATAAAGGAATACAAACCACCCAGCTCAGCTCCCTGCAGGGCATCTTGCAGGCCTTATTTCAGAGGAGTTCCCACAAATACTTCAACTCTCACCACAGTTAAATTTTGCTTTTTCTGACAAGCATAAAACTGTACATGTATGCCATTAGGCACATGAAAAGCAAAAATTAGGGCCAAACTTTCAGTCTACGTGTAGATGCTGCATTCACTCAAGAGTAGACTTCCAAATCCGTACAAATGGAAATTTAATTATGAAGTGGGCAATAAACCATTTTCATTGGGGTTTTTTGGAACTATCAACTGCAGAAAATGTAAACAAGAAATAACAGTGCTTGGTACTGCATAGAGCAACAGTAGATATTTTTCACAGTAGAATGTATTTGGCAAACAGGTAAGCAATTACTGCTTTTCCATACATAATATGGTGTTTTTCTAAATGGAATCAAATCGCTGCTGTCGTCATGTGTAACAAATGCTGCAGGAAGTGCTGATAAAACAAATGCTGCTGAAAAGCATATAATAAACCTCTGAAAACTGAATGTTGCAGAATAGAGCCTATTCTAAAGGAATATAAATTCTGTCGAAAAAACAGATAGGCACACAACTGACAGAAGATATAGAAAGCACACAGGTTTATGTTTAGAATAACAAAGGTTTTAAAAGGGTGTGTGGAGTAAAGCTTTCATTTGTGTTGGCAAACCAAAGTACTTGAAAAAAACCAAATTTGCCAGGATAATGGAAAAGCCATGAAAAAAATAGCACAGTCCTTGATGAAATAATCTGCTGTTCACAGGCTAAGGCAAAACTTCAGGATGGAACTGAAGTTCACTTTTCCTGTCAGGTCACAGAGATTTCTCCAGCCTTCCACAAGAGCAGAACAACTGGTGAGTCCCAGGCATCTTCCTGAGTGCCTGCTTTCCAGGAACTTCTTCACTCACCTGATGAAACTTCACCAAAGTGGAAAAGGAAGAGAAAACTTGCAAGACACCAACCTGTTTAAATTGCCAAGCCATGCCACCACCCTGGAGCAGTGCAGGCTGAGGGAGGAGCCTGGCAGGCACAGCACACCCACAGGGCTTTGCACTCCCCAGGTGGGATTTTCTCCCAGGAATGGGGAACTTTACAATCAGTGTATCTGCTCAAGATGCAATAATAATGTTCTCTCATCAGACACATGAAGAGAATGGAGAAAGAGGTTGATCTCAGGATGGCACAGAAGATTGTTACCTATCTAGAAGTCTGGGCTGTGCAACACAATCTCCTACATTGTCTTCAAGTGGGCTAAAATAAGAAATATCAGCTGTTTTGTACAGGGTAGTTTGGATTCTTTAATTTGTTTGGGGGGATATGGGTTGTGTGTTTTGATTTTGTTGTTTTTCTTTTCTGTTAACACACACTTTGAGGCCCTTCCTACTTTTCTAATGTGGAAAGCCTGAGCAAGCAAGCAACCAGGAAACTTGCAGCATACAAAGGCTTTAGAATCACCTCTCTTAAATAAAGAAGCTAATTGGGAAATTAAAGAGAAGGAGAAGAAAGACTTTATGTGAAGCACCTGGACAGAAAGGAGAACAAAAAGTTGACTTCTGCTCTATTATCAGCATTTTAATGCTTTCTTTTGCCTCATTTTAACAGAACCGTAGTGAAGTTGTGCAAATTTCACATCACAAACATTTATTTATATATAAAACAGTATACACATACACATTGTATATGTCAATTACATGGATACACTTGCAATTACTTAGCATATCTACATGTAAAGCCATTAGGAAGCCTGCTAATAGGAGAAATTCACAGAGGTTAAAGCATACAGCCTAGTTAACAAAGAAGCTCTGTAACTAATACTCCTCTAGAGGACAATTTAGTCAGCAGGGCACCAAGTCTATTCTTCTTTTATAAGTAGTATCAGATCTATGATGCCTGTAAAGAACAGAGAGACCTTACTTACTGCATCTCATTCAAACCAAGGCACCTTCAAGCTACAGTGCTTCCATTTATCTTGTTGGAAAGTTGGCAGGTTAGGTAATTGCTGGGATTCTTTTAAGGGCCTGAAGTCCCCATACCCTAAGGCATGCCTTAAATTCTGCCTCTTTTCAGAGGCTTTTTCTGGAAAGCACTCATTTCTTCTAGTTAAATCTAGCAAGTTTAAAATCACCAGTAGTCTTGTGTTTCTTGTAGAGCAATCTTATTACTCCTATCTAGGGTATTGTTATGACTATATTTTCAATCTGACATAAAATCTTAGAAAAAATGAAAGACAAAATATTTTCTTTCTCCCTCCCATTACAAATCTGTATTACAATTCTGTACTGTCTATGTTACCTTTATATCCTGTATTATCCCAGACATCCTAACCAGCTTTCAAAGTTCATTTCTGCATAATACTTTGATTACAAACTGAAATGTCCCCGTGCAGGATTGATCTCTTTAAGCAAAGTGTTTATCTTCAAGTGTCTTCAGTTCTAGCCTCACCTTCCACCTATGCATGACCTTTTTTCTTGTCCATCTGACAAGAACAAGAGCTGAGCAAGGGGTAGAAGGGAGCAAACTGTTTATCCAGAGCCAGGAAACACAAAACTACAAAGAGACCACGGGAAAAAAACCCCTACAAACACCCATATATAATATAATAACATTAATTACTCGAGGAACACACCTGGATCCAATAAACAGCAATAGGGAGACTAAAGTAGCTCAGCAATACCACCACAATTTTACACACCAACTGTGACAGGACTACAGCATTCACTGTGGAACAAAAATTTACACTGCATATACTTTGTGCAGTTGCAAGCTTTGCTTAGCAATGTCTCAGCAGATACAAACCAAGATTTTAAGGGAATCCCTTGCTAAATACTTACAGTTATAAAAGGATGAGCACCTTCTCTGAAATCAGCAGATGGAGAAAATGTAGGGCACCTTGCTAATGGAGATCCTACGCCACTAAATCACAGCCCAAGTTCTCTAGGAAGTTACTGCAGTTTGGGGCTCTCTGGTGGGGATTATGCAGAGCACATACAACCTGTGATTTATTTAAATTTTCCAACTCTTGCCTACCAGTTCCTTTATGCTCAGGGAGTAGAAGAAAAGCAGAGATATTAAAATAGAAGACATAGATATTAAAATTAAAGACACACAAAACCTTCCAGTCTCCAAGTAGCTGAACACCCCAGACTCTACCCTACCATCCACTGTGCTGGGATGAATCCCAGCACTGCACGTAGGGAACTGCATCAACTGACTGGCTGCAGGATCAAAGCCTGCTCATTCCATTCAGGCCTTCCTGCAGTATTTCCCTAGGATGGTGCTGCTCAAAAAACACGATCTTGCATGAAATATCAATCTCTTTAACATGAATCACCACTTTAGAAGCAAAATTATATATACAAGCAAACATATTTCACATGTAACTATGTAAATATATATTCAAACAGACTCTGCTATTGTTTTGGAGCCATGGGGGATTATGAACAATATGCTCT